GAGGGGAAAAGCCAAAAACCATAATACCACCTCTTTAACTCCACTAGGCCACATTTCAGTGGAAAATACTGTGGTTTTAACTACACTGCATTTATTTGACATCTAGGTACTTTTCAGACTAAGATCAAAAATATATAAAAATATAAGTTTACACTAAAACATAATATACTGTTAAAGATTAAACCAGATCACCTGGTCAAGATTGAGCTAATGTGAGGTCATATTTTTGTAATATATTAATTCACCAAAGTAACTGGTAACTGTAACTGTAAGATAAATACAGTGGAGACAATATTTCCCTGAAATCTTGAGCAGTAGAAGTACTGAGACGGATTAAATGGAAATACAAAAGAAAAAGTATGTTAAACCTCTACTTATGTCCAGGGTTTAAGTAAATGCATTTCCTTCACACTCCTGCATATTGCTGACCTAAAGCATTTCACAACTTTGCCAAATGCTGACACAGGAGAAAAACCTCCACACAGGTTTACCAGCAGAACTGAGCCTTTTTGTGTTCGGGGGAGGTTTTGTGCTCCCAATAAAACTTTCTGCCATGGCCATATACTTCCCAGTAAAAAGTTAAATGACATTTATATAGTTTAGAAAACCTTAACTGAAGCAGCATCTGCTGCACAACTACTCCATTTTTAAGAGTAGAATCCACAATTATTTGTTCTGTTGGTATTGTTGCATTTACAGCAACTATATTCAAGAAAAACCCCTGCATTTTTAAGTCCACTGGTACTGTTACTAATACTCAGGTAGCAGCCCCTGCATTATTAGGATGAGTGAAAATGTATATGACATATGGTGATGTACAACAGGATTGGTATAGGGTTTTCAGAGCCTGTTTGTTTCACTAAAGCTTAAGAGCTTAAAAGATTACTCAACAACCTCAGAATGTTTTAAAGACACTCAGATGTGTCATCAAATTCATTTCCATCTTAACATCTGGAAAGTATAAATGAAACAAAGCTGCCAAGCTGCTGAGGAATTTTGGTGCAGTAAAAGTGTTGCACCGTAGCAGAGCGCATACTTACAAATGCAACTATCGGTAATCTTAAGTTTGGATGCAGAGTGGACGCACCTCAGAAGAAGTTGGAAAGAGAAGCTGCTGTTGGTTGGAGTCGGTCTGCTGCTGCTGCTGCTCCGTCTTGGGAGACTTCTGCTTCTGCTTATATACCCTTCAGGGGAGAGGAAGAGCTATGTGTGTGTGTGTGTGTGTGTGTGAGACCTTTGCTTGGAAATAGTGTTGTGTAACTGGTCCGTCCAACTTAGGAGCAGCAACACACATCTTTATTTTGTTTCACTGTTTGTCTGTATTTTTATCAGCCATGCTAGAGATGAATCACTTTGGTCCAGACTGAAATATCTCAACAGGTATTGGATGAATTGCCATGACATTAATTGTCCAGAGGACGTATCACCACAACTGAATAATAATTTATGTGGCCTCCAGTCATGGTTGTGGTCGATATGCTGGGAGTCCACTCACTTTTGATGGGGGTGTGGTTTTTGGCGGCACGTTTACTAGTGTGATGCTTATTTGACGTGTTGGTTTTGGTTTGTGTTATCTTTACACAGGTAGGCTAATCCCACTGTTCCGCCAGTGGCTTCCCAGGCGTGGTATGTCCTCTCCTCTTCCTCTCTTTCTGGGTTTTGGTCCATGTTCTAAATAAGGAGTTATGGAAGTTAAGCCACATCGACTGTTGTGATTTCTTTATTGAACCACTGTGTCTAAGTTCAGTTGGCAATTTCTGGTAGGCTATTTACTACAGGAGTTTCATGAATAAGTACTGGACGCATGCCCAATTTGTGACGAATGACTGGAATCGACCAAAGTTGGCATGTGGCAAACTAGACTGAAGATTGTCAAATGAAATTGGCCCACTCAGTGGATGATGCACACCCACACACTGTGCATCATCAGACAAGTTTTCATCCAAATGTATGCATGCATTAATAAACAAAGACGTTTGAGAGACTTTTAAGTGACATGCTTCATGCACGTCATTATTTATTTATTTATTAGTCAGTCTGTTTCCATTGTATTTTCTTGCAATTTGTTTTCATCAATTCACTACCTTACTCACCTTAGTGTACAGTATTTTTGCAATATTTTGAATTTCAAATGTTTCCACTTCACCAAACAGGTGAAACACATTAATTGAGGCCTGATAAAGGTGTTGAACACATTTCCTCCCTCATAGCATTTGCATGGCTAATTTTGTGAAAGAATTTTTAGTTTACATCCATGTTGATCAGGCCTTGTTTGCGCATTGTTACATTTCTTGGTCGCCAACTGTTGATAAGTGGAACAGTGTTAAAAAAATGTGAACCCATCCATGAAAAATTTAAGTGATTTAATAGCAGTACTAGTGCTCACAAGCTGTGCAAGGTACCCAACTAATCTAGCAAAATGTTTGGATTTTGGGGCGGTTGGCTCATAGTTGGTCTTCTGGTGCCAGAACAAAGGCGAATGGGCAATCAGCTCAAATATGGCTGACGTTGTTAAACTACAACAACTACTGCTTCCTGTTGCTGTTACTTTTTGTTAATACTTCTATTACTACTATTATCACTACATATAATACTGCTTTTACACAACCAATAATACTACTATTACCGCCGTCATTCGTCTCACTGTTGCTACTACTATTCCTGCTACTCCTTCACTGTTGCTATTATTAGTCTTACTACTACAAGTGCTAGTACTTCCTCTGACACTAATAGTTTGCTACTAAGACCGCTTCCTGCATTCATTGCGGTATTTATGCAGTTCTCTTTTCCATATTGGAACTGATACTATGTGTTCAAGGATAATAAAGTGCAAGAAATGAGTCCAAACACAATAAAAGACATAACTACTGAGGAGCCAGTGGAGCCACCACATTGCTTGTGCACAAGATACTTTTGATGCATTCGTTAATCATCTGCTGCCACCATGAGAAAGAATTTCCATCAGTACAACCCAAAACATGAACATAAAAAATTGTTGAATTTCCATTTAAAGCAAAAACATGGTAGCTTCCAATGTTTTGAAACGTTTGAGAAAAGAAACATTATTGGATGGAAAACCTTTGATTTAAAACTGATTCCAAGTCAGCGGCAGATGTGGAAGCAAAGCTTAAAATACCCACAAGCTCCAGCGGCAAATAAATTACAGAGGAAACATTGTACTGTATGTTTCTGTGTTTCCCATTTCCACCACTAGCAATTATCTTCTTGATTGACCAGTTAATTTCAGCGGCAAACTAATCAGCAAATGCCAATGCAAATTTATATGTTACATTAAAAAGAAACAACTGTGAGCTTCAGTGTTGACGGTATAATTTTTTGGGCTGTTTTTTATTCATTATATGGAGTCTTTCAGATGCCAGGCAGCGTCATATTTGGAGGGAAGAGCGGCTGATGCAGGGAGTCCAATAAAAAGTAATTCATTTGACATTTACGAAAAGCAGCACACATGTGAAAAGGCATCCATCATGTTAATATTCACAGAACACTTAACAGACCTCAAAACAACTCTGCCTGGGTTAATTGTGCCAAATCAATACGGCTGATTCAGTTATTTCCATAAACAGGGTTTGTTTTCATTAACCCTGACTGGTGCAGAAGGAAAGGGTGAATCATAGAGGACATGATCTAATGTGTGTGTTCGTGTGTTTTCATAGGATTGACTGGACTGGACACAAGAACATGTTGTACCATGTATGCAGCCAGGGACGCCATGTAGCCAGGGTGCAGTGACAGCAGGCAGGCATAATGAAGGGATACTGGCTCCTCACACAATACAATCGCTGTAATGGATGGAAATGTATCACTTTTTCAGATTATGATGAAATGCAGCTGAGTCGTTAGCTGTTCTGTTCTTATTTGCACCTCTGTTGATTTAGGTTTAAAGTAAAGTTCTACCAATCACCTTTGGTTTCAGTTCTTTATCTCCCTCAGACTTTGGGTTTTCATGCAAATATTGAATATTTTTTCCCTTGCTTCCCTTCCCTTTGTTGCTATACTATCATTTAGTGTCTGTTTATAAAGCAGCCTCCAGTGAGTTCCCGCAGAAGGAGTTATAGATATTAACATCTATAATAATACATTCTTATATCTGCTGTGTGTTATAAACCATTTATATTGGCTCTATTTCGGGGGGTAAAGTAACATGTTACTGGACACATCTTTATCTTAATTAGTAGATGGAGTTTGACCGGCTGTCATAGAAATGTAGATATTCAGATATCCATGTTGCCTTAAAAGTTGAATTTCGTTGAGTTCATTCTTGAGCACAAAACATAATGAACTGTCATGGCATCCCACAACTTTGCTTATAGTTATAGCTTATAGAATTACTTGTTACTGGCTTTATTTTAAAATGAAACAGTGAATAACTTGAGGAATATACAGAAGATATTTTGATGCTCTGATAAACTCATTCCTCATTTGTTGCTGTTACTTTCAGTTTGTAAACTTTGAGATTGAGATTTTGATCCCAAAGTGAGTTTTACATGTTGAAACTCTGCATTAAAAATGTATAGTCAAAAAACTTTTAGATTACTGCAATATTTCATAACTTGCACTTTGTATAAAATTAACTTCTGCTTTTCACTCACTGTTGTCAACTTACTGTGACAACATAGTTCGAGGCAGGAACTTGTTACCACAAGGCAGAGTTAGCTCCGTTTTGCTTGTGGGTAAAGGAAACAGAAGTGCCACACATTTGCCACAGGACAGCATCTGACAGGCTGCCTAAACCTAAAGCCTGCATGTGTGTCTCAGCACACATAGGCTAGTGCATGTTCTGTATGTACAAAATGTGCATACATGACTGAACCCTTGCAATTGTGTGCAGCATGCATATGTGCATTGCTGTGTGTTCAGTACGTGTGTTTTGCAAGCATGTGCATGTTAATGTATCGCCACAGCTCACCATGCCATCTCCTCACTTCCTGTCATCTTGAATGAAGCACGTTAGAAACCCACAGGTAATGTGACACACAAAGTTTCCACTGTCTGTGTTCAGTTTGTGCAGCACAAATTCAATCATTTTGGATCAATCAACTACCAGGGTGTTTCTATTGCTTTCACAACGACGCTGACGAAACACTTCCTGTAAAAGACACACCGGAACCGAAAAGAGGAAGAGGAAGGACAAAAGGAAGAAAGAGGACAGAGAGCTGATGGACACCTCAGATGAGAACTGTAGTCCAGTCATCGTCGCGAACAGTGGTGAGTTAATTGTAGCGCTCTTACATTCTTTGTTTACTCAGGTATTATTCATTTAAAATAAGCTCGTACAGAGGTACTTCAGTGTGGGAGTGAAGTGAAAAACATATGTGTGCACTTTCTGATTGTAAATGCAGTTTCATTTTTAGGTATATCATGATAATTAGATCAATTTGCAAGTACAATCTGATTACGGTTCTCGAGGTAAAACAATGAAAAAGAAGGTTTCAAGTGCAGTTTTAAGTGTAATGCAAAGACCAAATGACTGATTAATGTCTCATTTTTGTGTTTTGTGTCATTCAGCTTATCCGGTACGGTGCACTGAGGAAGCACTTCTCCCTTTCTTCACAGATGAGAGTCTGCAGGTCGCCATGTACTCACAACACCCTCCTGCCTCCCACAGCGTCCCTCCTGTTCTCCCAGAGCTTAGGCTGGTCCTCCTGGGCAGAAAAGGAGCAGGGAAGAGCGCAGCAGGCAACACCATCCTGGGAGGAGTAGGGGGGTTTGAGAGCGGGAAGCCCACAGAGGAGTGTGTGAAAAGGCGAGCTGATGTGGCAGGGAGAAAAGTAACGGTGGTGGACACTCCAGGGTGGGAGTGGTACTACCCACTGAACAGCACTCCCAACTGGGTGAGGAGAGAAACTTTACGGAGTGTGTCACTTTGTCCTTCTGGACCCCACGCTGTGCTTCTGGTTGTGCGATCCTGCGCCTCAGTAACAGAGAAGTACATCAGTGAGATAGAGGAGCACCTGGAGCCGCTGGGAAAAGGAGTTTGGGAGCATACCATGCTGCTGTTCACCAGGGGAGACGAACTAGGCATGGTGTCCATGGAGCAACGAATTCTGACGAGTGGCCCAGCACTCCAGAGACTCCTCCAGAAGTGCGGGAACAGATACCATGTCGTGGATAACCGGAACAAAGGGGATGGGATGCAGGTTAAAGAGCTGATAAGGAAGGTGGAGGAGATGGTGGAGGGGAAGAAGGATGGAAGCAGTCATTTAGAGATGGACAGTACGGTTCTGTTGGGCCTGGAAGCAGACGGGAAGAGGAGAGCGAGGGAGAGGAGGAAGAAACAGAGGGAGATGGAGGCACAGATGCAGAGAGGGACCATCAAAGCTGCTTTAATGAGTGAGTCCTTCAGTCTGTTCAATTTGTAAAACAAGTCCTCTCAAATATATGAAATATCACAATCAGCACAGAAAACACGTTGAATGAGTTCTCATTGGAAAATACAAATTAATGCTTAAAGCTGCACCAATCAATATTTTTGTATTGTATAACTGTTTAATGTGAAATGTGTATCCCATAGTGTCAAATCCAACTCTTAAGTTCCCTGAGCTCCACAAAAGCATGTTAAGCTGTTTTAACACTGCCTCACTGTTTTGGTTTTCTGGTAAGCAAACCACTGTCAGTGTAATTTCCAGACGCAGCAGGCAGCCAACAAACTCTGATACACCCAGACAACTTGTCCAGCACCATCAAAAGACAAGCAAAGTTAGAAACTAGCTGGTGAAATAGTGAAGCATTTATCATTTAAAGACCCAGATATTTTCTTCAGAAGTTGGTCAAGACCAGAACAGAGAGCTAAATTAGTGAATATTGGCCTTGCATGTCTGCTCTATGTATTGTTAATAGGCAATGGTTTGCTAACACATTCACCTTAAATATGTCAATGCTGTTGTCTTAGCTTGTTCCGTTTCCTCCAAGTGTCCAAAAGAAAACCAACTGTATATATATATATGAATCAATATTTTTTTATATTTTACACTGAATGACGGCTCTCTAATGCTGATGGAGCTAAAAATCATGATGTATTAACTGCACAGCTGACAGAGCTTTTTAGCCTCTTGTAGTGCACTGTTTTGGTTTTTCCTGGAGGGTTGTCTAGGCATTTCCAGTAACAAGCTTTGAAAAACCCTCTGAATGCCACCTGGCCAGTACCAAATGGCAGTTAGAACAAGTTAACAAATGGTGAAGAAAGTCAAACATTAAACTACTGAAGATATTTGCCAGATATTTCCCTCAGGTGGTGGAGCTGGTGGAGACCAAAACAGAGCTAAAAGGAGAGTAAATACTGGCCACAAACACTAAAATTAGCTGAAACTGTAGGCAATGGCTTTTTATTTGTTTGTTTAGATTTGTTTTACTGTTAATGTTTTTACACCAAACTCTGCAGTACTACTACAGCACACATTTAGCCCCTTGCAATGCTTTGGTCTTATGGTGTAAACATTTACTGTTTAATGCACTTACTATGATTCAGTCAACATTAGCCAAAAATTTCTAGGTGATAAACCCACTGTATGCTACCAGCTCATATGCTTTATGCTAATGAACGTTCCAGTATCTTCAACCAAGTCCAGTTGCCCTTGACTTTAACTTTCGTTGGATAATGAACGTTGAACATTTACGAAACTAAAGAGCCAGATATTTCCCTCAGGATTTAGTGGAGTCCAAAACAAAGCTAACAGTGGAGTGAATATTCAGATGGCTATGAATTTATTGAAATGAATGTGTAGGTAACTTGTTTGCTAACACATTAGCAACAAAAATGAAACAAGCTAGTTGTGGCTGTGTGTCTGAAATGGATTTATGCAGTTTTAACATGAACTTCATTTACTTTTCTTCATCCAGGCGATGGTCTTCAGGGTTCCGAGCTAGACGCCCACCAGTCATTCTCCAAGGCTCCCCGGCGTTTACCTGAGGTCAGACTGGTTCTCCTGGGCGAGCGTGAAACAGGAAAGAGTTCAGCTGGGAACACCATCCTGGGAAAAATGGGCTTCTTTGAGGCCGGGGTGGTAACAGAAGAGTGCATCCGTCAGCAAGCAGAGGTGGCCATTCGGTTGGTGACGGTGGTGGACACTCCAGGCTGGGAGGCAGGTGTAGCAGGTGCCACACCTGAGAGGGTGAAGAGGGAGATTACCAACAGTGTGGCCTTGTGTCCACCAGGGCCCCATGCGCTCCTGCTGACTCTGAGGGTGGATACACTTGTGAGGGCGGGACATGTGAGGGAACATCTGGAGCTCCTGGGCGAGGGTGTGTGGAGGCACACGATATTGCTGTTTACCCATGGGGATCAGCTTCGAGAGGGGGTGGATATTGAGCAGCACATCCAAGGTGGAGGCAGGGACCTCCAGTGGCTGCTGGAGAAGTGCAGGGGCAGGTACCATGTCATCAGCAGCGTAGATGGAGGAGGAAGAGGAAATGGAGGCTCCAGCAAGGTGACGGAGCTCCTGCAGAAGGTGGAAAAGATGGCCGCAATGAACAGGTGTGAGGCTTTCTCTGGCCTGGTTCAGGATGTCAGGGATCTGAGCCGGCAAAGGAACGAGAAGTTCAACCAGCGTCTGAAGGAGATGGGAGATAAAATGCTTCGTCAGGAGACAGAGTTGAAAAATATGAGGGAGAGGGAGATGAAAAGCATCAGGTGGTTTTTTGACAGGAAGAAAAAGGTGAAATCACCCGGAAAGGCCGACATTCAAAGGGAAGAAGAGGAGGATGAGGACAGGAAGATTGGCGTAGAAAGGAAGAATGATATTGGGGATCTAGAGGAGAGGATGCGATGGCTGACAGAGGATAAAGAGAGAGAAATTCAGGATCTGAGCATAGAAAAGGAGAGGATCTGCATAGCACTAAACCAGAGTAGGAAAGAAAAAGACAATGCAATGCACAACTTGGAGCAAAAAGAGAGAGAGATTGAGGAGCTAAAAGAAAGAATTGACGAGCAACAACTGAAGCTGCTCGACCTTGAACGTGCCAGTGTAGAAAATGAACATGAGAGGAAGCAGAGGGAGGATGCCATAAAAGTAAAGACACAAGAGTGGATGAGTGAGGTGAAGAAAATGGAAGAAAACATAGAGCTGCAAAAGAAAGAGAAAGCAGAATGGATGGAAAAGGTTGATTCTTTAAAAAAAGAAGTTGACGAGACTAAAAGACACTATGATAATGTGCTCGAGTTAAAAGCACAAGAAAAAGACAGGGAGATGGCAGAGATGGAAGAAAAACTAAAGAACGAGATGGAAAGAAAACTTCTTGAAAAAGACAAAGAACAGGAAGAACTGAGAAAAAAAGCTGTACAGGAAAAGCAGATGACTCTAGATAATGAAAAACTTATGGAGAAGAAAGTTGAAGAAATGAAATCACAACATAAGAAAGAGATAGAGAGAAAAATGCACGAGAAAGAGACAGAGATACACAGCATAAAACTGCAGCATCAGGACGAGATGGCCAGAAAAATCGGTGACATGGAAAAAATTATGGAGACAATGAAGGTTCAACACCAAGAAGAAATTGATCAGAAGTTGAAAGACAATACAGAATATTTACAAAGGTTGAAACAACAGCATAACAAAGAGATGTGGGACATGCATCAAGAAAAACAAAGAGAGATTGCAGAGCTGAAAGAGAAGTTTGCAAAAGAGACAGAGGAACAAATGCAAGTAAAAAAGAGGGAGATAGCTGACTTAGAACAAAAGTTTTTCATCCAAATAGAGGAAAACATACAAGAAAATGAAAAGGAGAAGGAAATGATTCATCTAAATCACAAGAAAGACATGGCACAAAAAATGCAAGAGAATGAAATAGAGATAGAAGTGTTAAAATTGCAGCATCTGGAAGAAATGTCAAGAAAAATTAACAAAATTGAAAAACTAATGGAAGAGAAGAGAGTTGAACAGCAAGAAGAAATGGACCGAAAAGTGAATGAAAAGGAGGAAGATGTGGAAAGGGTCCACAAACAGTACAATGATAAAATAAGGGACATTGAGCAAGAAAGACAAAGAGAGATTAAAGAGCTGAAACAACAGTTTGCAGAAGAAAATGAGAAACAACTGCAGGAAAGACAAACAGAGATAAGAGAGTTAGAGCAAAGGTATGCCGCCCAAGTAAAAGAAAAGGTGCTAGGAAATGAAAAAGAGAAGGAATTAATGAATGAAAATCATGAAAATTACATTTTGCAAAAAATGCAAGAGAAAGACAGACTAATAGAGGAGTTAAAATATCAACACACCAATGAAATCAAAGAAAAAATGCGAGAAAGTGACATGGAAAAAGAAAGGCTTGTTAGAAATCTCAAGACAGAGATGGAGCAAAAAGAAAAAGAGATAGAGGAGATAAAACAGAATGTCAAAGAAATGAAGGAAGAGCTGCAACAAAAGGAAGAGAAAGAAATTGATCATTTGAATTACATGAAAGACATGGATCAAAGACTGGAAGAAAAGGAAAGGGAAATTGAGGAGATGCAATTAAATTTCAAAGATGTGAAGGAAAAGCTGCAACAAAAGGAAGAGAAAGAAAATGCTCATTTAAATCACAAGAAAGAGATGGAGCAAAGATTGGAGGAAAAAGAAAAAGAGATAGAGGAGATAAAACAGAATGTCAACAAAATGAAGGAAGAGCTGCAACAAAAGGAAGAGAAAGAAATTTATTATTTGAATTATAAGAAAGAGATGGAACAAAGACTAGAAGAAAAGGAAAAGGAGATAGAGGGGATAAAACTGAATGTCACTGAAATGAAGGAAAAGCTGCAACAAAAGGAAGAGAAAGAAAATGCTCATTTAAATCACAAGAAAGAGATGGAGCAAAGATTGGAGGAAAAAGAAAAAGAGATAGAGGAGATAAAACAGAATGTCAACAAAATGAAGGAAGAGCTGCAACAAAAGGAAGAGAAAGAAATTTATTATTTGAATTATAAGAAAGAGATGGAGCAAAGACTGGAGGAAAGAGAAAGAGAAATAGAAGCTGTGAAAGGATGTTTAAAAGAACTTGAGCGACAACTGCAGCAGATCAAAGAGGAAAGAGAAAGAGATCATTTAAATCACAAGAAACAGATGGAGCAAAAACTAGGAGAAAAACAAAGTATGATAGAGAAACTGAATCAGCACATAAAGGATACTGACGAAATCCTGCAGAAAAACGAGGAAGAGAGAGGCGAAATTATCCTAAATCAAAAGAGAGAGGCAGAGCAACGACTGCAAGACAGAGAACGAGAGATGGAGGAGATGAAACTACAGCTTTTAAACGACATGGAGCGAAAACTAAAAGAAAAGGAAAGTGAGATTGAAAGTTTTAAACAACAGGCCGACTCCAGGGAGATGAGATGGAGGGAAGAGCAGAGGAAGAAGGACGAGAAAGCAGAAAACGAGATGAACCAACTGATAGAAATCATTGAGAAGAAAACAAAAGAATTAACACAAGCACAGTGTCATCTTGCGGAGAGAGACCGTGAGATCGATGAGGCAAAAATAACATGTGCAAAGTACTTGGAAGAAATTGAAAAGCTAAAAGAAAGCAGTAAAAACCAAACCTCCAGTATCATAGAGATACAGCGGTGTCACACAGAGCAGGGAAAGAAAAAAGATGCTGAAATGATGGAAAAACTTCAGGAGAAAGAAGAAGAACTTGACCAATTGAGGCAGAGAGACAGAGAAAACAAGAAAGAGATCACCCAACTGAGGCTAACAATCGAGCAAACAAAGTCCGAGCTGAAGGAGCTCAACAACAAGATGGAAAAGGAGATGACAAACATGATTCAGGAATATGAAAAGGAGATTGCAAGAAAAAATGGGAACATAGAATCCATTGCCAAGGAGAAGGATTGCACTATAAGTCGTTTGGAGGAAGAGAGTCAGCAAAGCATTTTGGACATCACAGAGAAATACGCGGAAAGTCGGAGGAGAGCTGAGGAGCTGCAAGAGCAGAACGAGAAGATGAGAAAAGAGACGGACAATCTCAAAATAAAGTGTGAGGAGCTGAAGAAGGAGAGTGAAGAAGAAGTTAGAAAACATCTCAGTGGATATGAACAGCAGGTAAAGAGCAAAGAAGCAGAAATCCAAAGCATTCTTGAAGAGAAAGATGCTGAGGTCAAGGTGTTAAAGGAGGCAAATGACAAACTGCAAGTAGAGATGGACAGGATGAAAGAGAGAGAAGGTGAGGCAGAAAGACTGATGAGTGAAATGAAAGAGCATTTCCAGAAAGAGATGAAGGAGAAACAAAGTGAGTTCAGAATGAAGGGTGAGGAGATTGAAGAGGAATTCTTGAAAAGGGAAAAAGAAGTAAGGGAAAGGGAACAGGTTCTGAGTAGAAACAAAGAAGAGCTGAACAAAAGGGGACGTGAACTTGACGCAAAGGAGGAAGAGCTCGTTGAAAAAGAGGCAAAGTTAGAAAGTAAGGAACAAGAACTTAGTGAATGGGCAGCAAGTCTAGAAAAACAACAAAAAGATCAGGGAGATAAATGTGAGCAAGATGTGAGCATGAGAGCACAAACTATGGAGAAAAAGGAGAGGGAGCTAGAAAACTTACTCAGAGCTCTGGAAGGCAAACAGAAAGAGCTAAAATGTCACGGTCAAGATCTACAGACGAAGGTTAAAGGGCTGAAAGATCAAGGGAAAGAGCTGAAAGATAGGGAGCATTACTTAAGAAATGAAGAGCAGGAGTTGCTCAGCTGGAAGGCAGAGCTGCAGATGCGAAATGAGCAAGTTAACTCTACAACGCAGGAGCTAGACGAGATGGGGAGAGACTTGGCTTTGCTGAAGGAAGAACTTAACAACAAAGAGAAAATTTTAAAGGTGTCATTTAAGAAATTGAGCAAATGGGAACGGAATCTTAAGGAACGCGAGGAAGGGTTGCAAAAAAGAAATTTGGAGAACGGACAACATGAGGTTGATGATAATGTGAGAGTCTGTGAGGGGGATTCTCTCGATCTGACAGCTGCAGTTGAGTGCTCAGAAGATGACTTGCATTTAATGTACCGAGAGGTCAGTGAGAGAAGGGTCAAGGGAAGAGAGTCACATAGAGGAGAAAGGGATAGGGAGGTTCAGAGGATGAAAACAGCACCGTCAGCTGCAGAGAGCAATAACTGTCACCTTGAAACACTAAAAGAGATAGATATGGCTGAGGAAAAGGAAGGGGTGAGAGGAAGAGGAGTACAGATGAGGATGAAACACGGCAGCAAGGACCTGGAAAGGGCAACGGTCGTTCCAGATTTAGAGTTTTTATCTGCGAGTCGGGCTCACAGAAGCTCAAATGACAAAGAGTCTCCTGGATCGGATTTGAGGGTGGTGGTGTTAGGGGAGACCTGGTCGTCTCGCTCCCCAGCTGGAGTCACCATCCTGTGTGGAGAGGAAGCCAAACTGGACGGGTCTACCTTCAGGCCATGGAGAGGTCAGATAGCTGGACGTCGCCTTGCCGTCGTGGAACCGCTAGGTCTGAGGTGGCGAGACGGCCCAGATCCAAACAACACGGTGCAAAGGAAAAGCATTCTTGACAGTATCTCCTGGTGTCATCCAGGGCCTCACGTCGTCCTCCTGCTCATGCCGGCCTTCATGAACTGCACACAGAAGTACAGGAGAGCGATAGAGGAGCACATGCGATTGCTCGGGGAAGGAATTTGGCAACGCACACTGGTGCTGTTCACATGGGGGGAAATTTTAGGGGAGAGCACAGAGCAGCACATCCTGAGGAACGGGGAGCTAATGGGGCTCGTAGAGAGATGTGGGGGCAGGTATCATGTAGTGAGCAGCAAGAAAGGCAACTGTATGATAGAGGGATTATTTGAGAAAATGGAGGATATGGTGGCTTTGAACATCGAAGAGCAGTTTTGGGAGTAGAACTGTATAAATGTATCATGTAAAAACAGTGTTTTTCATTTTGTAATGTGAATATTTTTAATAAATTTAACCAATAGTTGCAAAAGTACTCCGATCCTTTATTTACTTTGAAGTCAAAGTACCAGTAGTTCAAAGTAAAATACTGAATTTTAAGTAAAAGTGCAAGAATTTTAGTCCATCAGTTCCCAGCTTGGGGGTAGGGCCCCCTCCAAAGGGTCATAAGACAAATCTGAGGACTTGTGAGATGATTAATGGGGCAGAAGCAAGAAGAAAAAACAAACACGTACAATGTAGAATGCACATGTGTAAATTTTTGGGACTTTTCTCTAATCTTAGAATAAGAATTTGATAATTGTTGCCTCTTTGGGCCTCAAGTCGAGAGAGGAACTGCTACATGCAAACAAAAGGCCCCAAATAGACACTGCTGTTTTTGTTAAAGGTCATAAACTTAAAATATTGAGAAGAATCTTTTTTAATCTTGAACAATGCACTGTATTTTATAGGTGTATCATGTGTTTTTATGTGAAATATTTAGATATTATAGCTGTCAAATAAATGTACAATGAAATGTAATGGAGTAGACACATAAGGCAGCATTAAATACTGAGTACTCAGAGTATAAGTACCTCAGATTTGTACTTTACAGCACCACTGAATTTAATATTCTGCTTACTGAATGATTCATATAAATCTTCATTAGCTCATCAATTATATCAAATTCTGAAGGAGCTGCAAATCCAAATTGATTTTTGGAGCGACCTTTGGTTGACCCGAACTGTCACCACCTATGAAGTAAAGACTTCTCTCCACAAGATGGGGACCTTGTGTCAGTGTAGAGATTACTCTCTGAGCACTAAAGTAACCAGTGATGAAAGTCACTCATGACAAGGAGTTGATGGTGAAAGTATAGTGAAGCTAGTCAAATATATATTTTTTAACCGTGTTTTACAATTTTCTGTGTAAATGGCTACTTTTAAAAGGAAGAGTACACAAAGGCTGACTAGCAGGCATGTGCTCCTTGACTGGAGGCATTTCAGGAGAACCAAACCGTCTCGCAATTATAACCCCAGGGAGCCTCCCGCACGCTGAGAGGACTCCTGCTTTGACAAGTAAATTATGACTCTTGATGAGAGGAGTACGGCTTTCTCAGAATGCAATTTTTGACAGCCAGGAAAATGCGGGTGGATACATACAACAACTTCCATCATCCGCAGAGCCAGATGCAACACTCGTGTGCAATCATCAGGCTAAAAATTATGGAGTGTGAGTGCTGGTCTGTATCTAACATGGCAGCAATGTATTTTAATCTGTCCATTCAATGTGAGCTGCCTTTAGAGGGAAGATGAGAGGGTGTTGTGTCAAGATGGATCTCTGCTTCTTTGATCATCTCTGCAGGGTGTGACTGTTTTCAAAGCGTCTGGGGAGAAATTAAGAGAAAAAAGTTGTCATCTTGCAGTTAATGGAGACATAATTTTCATACATTTAAGCATAATGTTTTAAAGATATCAGGTATCCAACACAAAGTCAGCCAAAATATGTCATAGGCAACGCCCTTTTTAATTTTTTTAATCCTCAGATTTTTCATCACATCTCATTTATAGTATCACAACACTTGATTTATTGATTATAAGCTTGGATTGATTACAGAGTGCAAGACGGTTTTCTGCAAAACTGAAAGAAATGGTTATTAGTGGTTTAGTTTAAATGCTTTTAGGCTGATTAAAGTTTTCTCCTTGTCTGCCCTGCAAGACAAAAACTTTAAAGTAGATCATTAAAAATGTACGTTGCACAGCCAAACACAGATAGATAGATAGATAGATGAGAACAACAATACTGCTCTCGGATTTTGTAACCTTTGAGCAGAGCCAGACTGTCAATTTCCAGTCTTTGTGCTTAGCTAAGATAACCATCTGCTGGCAGTAGCTTGATATTTAGCTAACGCACAGACTTAAGTTATAGATTTAGCTAGATAACGGGAAACAGCAAGCCTGACTCTGTTTAAAGCAACAAAATCCCCCTACCAGCAACTTCTAAGACACACTAATTGACACGTTATATAAGTGAACAAAATGTCATGTTGTGGTTTTCAGGTTGTTAAGCTAAGAAACTGGCTGTGGCTTCATATTTAGTTAACGCACAGACATGCAAGTCGTATCAATGTTTTCATCTAACTCTCAGGAAGAAAGCTGAGATATTTCTCAAACTATTATTGCTTTGAAATGATACAGTATATTTCATTTGAGGTAGCCTAAAGATCCATAGGATCGTAATCTTTGAATATTCCTCAGTGTCGGCAGTTTGTAGCTCCAGTGAAGTGTTGGAACAAGAAGTTACAGGTTGTGTGGATGTTTTTAAGGCTTTTAAGCTACAGAACATTGAAAAAGTTGTTTGCCACATCTCTTTTTATAAAAGCACATTCCTTAACCTCAGAGAAATTAACTGATGATCTAAACGTTTATTAACACCAAGGTCGGAGAGGTTTAGGCGTGAGGATTTAAAAATTACAAGCATGTAAAAATGTGTTTTTTAAGTGAACTTTCATCCCAACAGCCATTGCGCTATTTCTTTTGTCCATTCAAGGCCATTCAGGAAACAAAAATCACCACTATATCTGTGAGTTCAAAGGTGAATCCTTGCTCCATATCAGCATTGTCACGCTGAATGGTGCAAACAGTGAATGATGAAACCACTTTTGGGCACTCATTTCGGTTTTAGCTAGCATTAGTTCAGATTAAGGCAACATGGTAACCCTAATTTATCTTTATTTGGAGCCTTTTAAGGTCCTGAATGAGGCTTTTTGGGAAATATGGATGGGGCCACATTTACATGCTCTACAATAGACAGGAACAGCACAGTCAATCATGTCTACAAATGTTGGATACAAAATTACTGGGCTGTGTTAAAACAGAAGTTAATGGTTGGGCTGATTTCTATTAAGGTCTGTGCACTCTCATTTGAATAATGGTCTTTCCAACAATGTTTGTTCTTTTCAGTACTTGACCCAGGAGGGAAATAAATGTGATTCCGCTTTAGCACCTCCATTAATATTCAAGTGGCTTTAATACTCCAGGTTTATTTCTGACTTACCGTAATTAGCATGGCAGTCTGGTGGTAGTTGATGATAAATCATATTCTGATTGTGCGTTTGGATGGTGGTGGAAAAAACTATGGGTTTTATTATAAAAAAAAAATACATAGCTATAGTGTGGGAAAAATACTTAGCAGTCAATATTTTGACCAACAAAATGATTTTGTCATCAAATACATAATTATTTTGTTCTCTGCGTTTAAGTCTGAGTCACTGTAACATGAAATCAGATGTTCTTGCATGGTTTAGAGTGTCCATGAAAATGTATCTCGCTTTGAATGAAATGTTTTATTAATACATTATTGCATTACTGTTGCTGTGAATTTTTTTTTCTTTTGTCTTTTATGGCTTTTGACAAAATACCAATCTACTCTGTCAAGTTTGCCTTGAACTCCATAAATTCCTGTGTTGTTAACGCGTTCGGCACTATTTAAAATCTGTTTAGAAGTTGTAATTAATGTCTTTATTAAAGGTTAATCATACACTTTTTCAGCATGACATTTCATTATCAGGAAGTACCCTCAAATGGACTAATTCAACCACTTTTTAAGTTAATGTTAAGACAGTGTCAATAAATGGATTTTCGTTCAGACGTGGTCTAACAGTCTATTTAAGAAGTCTTGATGAATTAAAGTGCTAACTAAAAAGTTAAAACAAGTGTCGTGTTGGAGGAGGATTTTCCACAAACTGTCAACAAATGTGTTCTTATTAAAACCTTATAACTGATCATAAAGTCTGAGTAAATGGTCCATTAACAATTAATAAAGCCATTAGTTACAGTTAATAAAAGGTGCCTTATTAGAAAATAGAACTTCTTTGTTTTATTGATGCGTGTTATTTAGACATCCCAAAATATTTGTGGTTTTGCAGAAGTCACTGGTCAGAGTTGGTGGCAAAGGGCGAAATAGCGTCCAGTGTGGTGGACAGGTAGGTATTTGCTTGTTTGTGTCTATAAAGGTCAATGCAGGTCCCTTGAGGGCGAGGATTTAAATTGGACCTGATGGGCCATGAAAAGTTCTAAAACCCCCAACCCTCTTTCCCCACCTCCCAGTACATTTAGATAACGTTAGCCTTTCCGAATGAAATGGCCGATCCGAACAGTTACATAAACCACCAATGGTCCCGCAGAGGCCCTCTGGAGTTTAAATCCAAAATAGTTGTGGCGCAAAGGAGGGCCACAAAAGCACAAAATGTTCCTGCTGGGGTAAAGAGGTGGCCAGATGCTGATCTTGAAACAAACATCAACTGGTAATGTGTGACTTGAAGTGGATAGCGGTGGAAAAGAATGATGAGTTTACATATGAGGCAAAAATCCTAAGAAAAAATATTAAGTCTGTATTTTGAAAAAACAAAAATTAATATATCCTTAAAAGCAGAACAAAGACTTAAACTTCAGCTGCTCTTGAAAGTGGCGTCAACTATTACAGTAATGTGTGAAATGAGGAAATCATATTTTTTTTAATAACCATGGGAACAAAACCAACGATTTGTTGCCTGATTCTTGCAGTTTCATGTATGTGTTTTACTTTCTACTTTACTTTCCTGAAAGGGGAGGGGAGAAAGAGCGAGGAAGAGGAGACAATGCTGCAGATGATGAATCCCCCTCTGGACTGCATCCTTTCTGGCTGAGTGCATACAGTGGGCCAGAGCCAGGTCCTGGAATCTAGCTAATGAGACATACCTCCCCCGGAAGGGCCCCGTGTCGTCCTATTGGTAGAGAGGCTGCCGGCGACTGAGACGATTGGCTGAGTCCTGTGCAAGCTGCTGTCAGAGCGTGTTGCAAATCAAACTCACAGTATTCATATTCAGCATGGCACACAGTAAAGAAGCTAAATGAGTGGAGTGAAATGTACACTCAAACTAACATTTCAAAGAGTTGAAAAAGATGGAGGTGGACAAATTGTCTTTCTTCTTGAACCTCTTTAACAGAAATTTGATTTGACAATATGTGCAGATGATGAAGGATTGCTTTACATTTTTTCAGATTATGTATCTGAGGT